TAAACGTCAAAGATGGCTTGACATCGATTAACTGTCAACCCCAGATCCTACTACAGGCCATTGTGTAGAGTCTTCAATTTGGATATTTTATTCTCCTCTTTCTTCAACATGTCGCATGCAATGTCATATCTTGGCCCACGGGGTGAGTAAACCGCAGAGAACCACAGGCTGCACATTGCTAACAAATTGCATTCAATTCCCCCAGCCTTCAATCATGAGCAAAACCGCGACGCTGAGGCCGAATACGATCGTCTCCGCGACCTCGCCAGACAAGAAGCAACAAAGCGCGGATCATGCTTTGAACGCGTTCGTGAAACCCCCTCCAGACCAGCTCCTTTTCCCACGCCCAACATTCATTCCTGCTTGCTGGATAATACTGAAAAAAGACCAACGCTCCCATAGTCCCAACAAGCCTACGCCGCCGGCGACGGCGCGGGCGCCAAACAGCTCTCCGAACAGGGCAAGGAACACGGCCGCCGGATGGAAGAATACAACCGGCAGGCGTCCCAGTTCATATTCCGCGAGAACAACGCCAACGGACGGGTGCCGGATGACACGATCGATCTGCACGGCCAGTTTGTCGAGGAGGCGGAGGATATCCTGGAAGAACGGATAAAATATGCCAGGGCCCACGGGCAGACGCACCTTCACGTGTACGTCACCGAATACATTTTATCTAGCCTCCGACCCCAGCCGGGACCATAGCTGACACTTTCGGTATTCTGAAATCGCAGAATCGTCGGCAAAGGGAATCACTCCACTAACCACGTCCAGAAGCTCAAACCGCGGGTGGAGCAGGTGTGTCGCGACCTTGGCCTGCAATATTGTACGGAAGACAATGCGGGCAGGATGTATGTCAACTTGACGGGCGGACCGGCGCAGATGCCGTCGTATCCACCGCACCAGCATCATCATCCACAACACGCTCCGCAGCCGCATCATGGCGAGCAGCAGCAGCAAGAGAATACCCTTGTTGAACAAGCTATTACCAACGGCTTGCCTAGGCTTTTGCGAAAGCTGGAGAAGGCCTGCTGCATTGTTATGTGAGACACATGCATTGGCTTTCATGGACTGTTGGCGTTGGCGTTGGTTAGAATTTATCTACCACCAGCTGAGTAGGTTACTTTTCTCGGCGCCGTTTTATAGCTTTTTTTTCCCTCATATTTTACCTTGATACCCTTGAATTTACGCCTATATAAGAAGACTTTAGATATTGTAGAGGTACTCCTTGCAGAAGGAAGTTGGTCAATCGAGAACTTTTCTATCCTTTTGGAGTCAAGCCTATCCCCATGGGAATTTGTCTCAACTGAACAACTAACTCCGAGCAACAACGATTCTCGACATGAAATATCCGTTGACAAATATCATAGGAGAAAACGGGCTTAAAAGGACATCACAAGGGCCA